GACACACACGCAGACACACACACACAGACAAACACACACACACACACGCAACCAGACACACACACACACACACACACACACACAGACACACACGCAGACACACACACACAGACAAACACACACACACACACGCAACCAGACACACACACACACACACACACACACACAGACACACACACACAGACAAACACACACACACACACGCAACCAGACACACACACACACACACACACACACACATAGACATACACACAGACACACACGCAGACACACACACACAGACAAACACACACACACACACGCAAACAGACACACACACACACACACACACACACACACAGGTAATGTGCATCTGTGTGTCTCAGGTCGAAGCTGGTCATCCCTCACCTGCTGAAGAGTCGCAGTCCTCACATCCTGAACCTGTCGCCGCCGCTCAACCTCAACCCTGTCTGGTTCAAGAACCACACAGGTAACCGTAGCAACCAGCCGAGCAGGTGTCCTGTTGTACTCCTGTGACGTGCTGACGTGTCTGTCGTCCTGTTTTTCAGCGTACACCATGGCGAAGTATGGCATGTCCATGTGTGTCCTGGGGATGGCCGAAGAGTTCAGAGGTCAAATCGCCGTCAACGCTCTCTGGCCCCGAACTGGTCAGTGGCTAAATGTTAGCGTGCTAACAGCTCCTCATAGATTCTCAAATACATTAGCATGCTAACCCTGCTCTGACCTGTGTGTTGTTGCCATAGCGATCCAGACAGCAGCCATGGACATGTTGGGTGGTGACGGTGTAGGTAAACAGTGTCGTACAGCTGACATCATGGCAGACGCCGCCTATGCCATCCTGTCCCAACCAAAGGACTACACAGGTCACTTCCTGGTGGATGAGGACATCCTCAGAGAGCAGGGAGTCCAGGACTTCGATCAGTATGCCGTCCAACCAGGTGAGTTAATGCTAATGTAGCACAGGTACTTAGAGCAGTCCCACTGTCAGGTGGTACTCATGGTGGTCTCTGATTGGTCGACAGGGCACCCCCTGCTGCCTGACTTCTTCCTGGATGAAGCTCCAGAGACACTGGTCCAACAGATGGAGCAACATGGTAAATACTACACATACAATAAATACTGTAAATACTGTAAATACTACACATAGTATACAAATACTACACAAACTAAAATACTGTAAATACTACACATACTGCAAATACTGTAAATACTGTAAATACTACACAAACTAAAATACTGTTAATACTACAAATACTGTAAATACAGTAAATACTACAAATACTGTTAATAATACCAATACTGTAAATACTACACATACTACAAACACTGATACTGTCAATACTAAAGATACTGTAGATACTATTACAAACACATCACTAGTGACAGTACTACATACACATATTATTATACACACTGCAGTGCCCCCTGGTGTCTTGACTGATTAATAAAGACAGTTGGTTTAATTATTGGTTAAAATGAAATGAAATGACCTGATTTTGCTTCCTGGTTGCTAGGGGCGACCCCAGCCTTCAAACCACCATCATCATCATCATCGGCAGCGCCCCCCTCTGGTGGACCGATAGAGAGCACATTTGACGCCATCAGAGGAGTCATTAACGAGGACGTTGTCAAGTCCACGCAGGGCATTTATCAGTTCGACCTGTCAGGTAACGACAGTATACGTACCTGTCCATATTAGGACTTCCTGTGGGCGTGTCTTTAACGTAACTGTGTTTATGTCCATAAGGAGAACATGGGGGCATTTGGTTCCTGGATTTGAAGAGCGGCTGTGGCAGTGCGGGGCAGGGCGAGCCGTCTGTGAAAGCGGATGTCGTCATGACGATGGACTCCAGCGACTTCAGCAAAATGTTCTCAGGTGAGCCAGATTGACACACAGAGGAGAGAAACAAACAGCTCCCTGTAGGAGTCACCATAGCAACAATCTGCAGTGTTGTTTCCATCGTAACAGGTGTGTGTGGTTGCAGGTAAGCTGAAGCCTACGATGGCCTTCATGATGGGGAAGCTGCGGATCAAAGGCGACATGACGCTCGCAATCAAATTGGAGAAACTGATGAGCCGCATGAACAAGGCCAAACTGTGAGCCTGAAGCCCCGCCCACCTGTCCTCTCAGGCCCCGCCCCCTCACTGTTTGTAGCTGTACATGTTGCCTTAACAACAATGATAATAATAAATGTAATGATAAGACACTAAGAAATTAATAAAGTGTGTTGATAATAAACAGTTTCCTGTGGTCATGTGACTCATCTTCATCATCTTCACTGAAAACAAACCTTTATTATCCTGTTCACAGATTTACAAACAGGAAGTGTAAACAAACAGGTTCAACCAATAGAACAAGAGTAAAGTGGTGGGTGAGGCTATCCTGTCGCCAATCACAAATTATTGTATTGACAATGTTCTGATATATTGATCTGTCATGTGAAGGACAGATCGACAACACACTGTAAAAAAATTTTAAATAAAAATAATTGTAAAAAAAAGTCAAATGACTGGCAGCAGCAGCTGCCAAACAAAAACCGTAAAATTAAAGTAAAACATCCTAATTCAAATAAAGTGTAAAAACAATAAATTTACAGAAAGTTTCATTAATTATTCTAAAGAGAAAAACTGTTATTTTACAGATTTCTCCTAAATTATTATGATCAAACTCCTTCAATAAAGTGACGCCACTAAAGTTTCTGCAGAGGAACTTTTTCCTAATAATAAAATTAAGTGTCAATCAATGAAATATTAACACAAGCTTAATATTGTAAAGTAAACCTTTTGTTTTGAAGACAAAATAAAAAATACTGTGTAAAACAGAATTTACCAGTAAATAACAAAATGACAAAATAAAGTGGAGACAAATTATTTTGTTTTAATACCTCTGCTTTTATTTTGAAAGCTGAAATGGTTCATTAAACACATGGTTTTCACTGTTGTATTTTTACAGATGTAGTAAAATTAAACTATTTTATTACAGTACTAACAGATTTACACATTTCACATTTCAAAGTAAAAGCTGAAGGAGATGTTAAAACCAAAATGTATTGATAAAAATTGCAAGCAAATCAAATTAATACTTTTGTTTGTAAAAGTTGTTATTGAATAAAAAAATCTGTCCCTCAGGTTTCCCAAAGTTCTTCAGGTCAGTGTCCGAGCTGACATACTTTGTTACCATGGTGATCTCCAACGCATCTGCGCAGCACGCTGCTGTTAACAACGCGCAGGTAAACCCAGAGTCCTCCTGTGGTATCTGACTGATAAACTTCAGGCTCCATGTTCACGTTCTTCACACGTTCTCCTGCCAAACGCTCCTGTGGGTCTACAGCGTCCTCCTCCGGCCTGCAGGGGTCGCTGCAGTGAACGCAGCCGGCTGGACACTTTTCCTGATGTGAACTCCACCGTGCACGGCCTCGCCACCGTCTACATGCTCAGTAAGAAACCTGCAGACTTCGTACGAGCATGTCACAACAAACAGTGTATAAAGATAGATATAGATAGATATAGCCTATATATATATCTCTGTGAATCAACATGAAGATTTCATGATTTCATTTCCTTCATGTGAGATGATGAAAACGTTCTCTCTGACTAGCCTTAAACACTGTTTAAGTTTGGGTTGAAATGTTTCAGCGTCTCCAAATCCCACATTAAGTTTCCAAACATCAGCAGCTGTTTGATTATTGATGTCCTCATTTAGTGTAAAGTCTTCGTACCGCAGCAATGAAACAACCCATGTGACTATTTTCTGACTCATCCTCTACAGTTATCATAATGTTTTTATCTAAACACGACACATCAGTATACTTGATATCAAAATATACAGTAACTTCTAGTCACTGACTCCATAACAAACTTAAACTTCATCACTGTTCCTTTAAGGTTCCTCTCTGGCTCGGCGGAGCAGCATTTCACGGACAGCATTCCCTTGGAGATGGCAGCACGTTTCCATAGCGACCTGAGACGTCTCAGCTGTGACATCAGAGCAAGGAACATTGACCTTAAGCTGCCGTACGTCTACCTGGACCCCGCCACCGTGGAGGACAGTGTGAGGCGCTAACACTGCAAATAACTCTAGATTAGCTACAAAATGTACTTAAAGTATAAAAAGTAGAAGTTCTCAGTTAGAGTCGGTCCTTATTATTTCTGATGCAGTAATATGTAAGCAGCATTTAGTTAACTGGTCAAGGTTATTTAACCTTATGTAGCTTAATAAACAAATAAACAGGAAACTGAGGAAGACTTCCACACAAAACATTTTCAGCTGTAAGGAACAGAAGTCTTTATAGAACAATATTACATTTTAAAGTATTAGGTTTCAATAAAATAGTAATGTGTATTTTTTAAATGTACAAAAAAACAGAATTTCACATATTACTATTGAACATTATTATGGAAACCACAGAAACCAATTTCATTATAACTGACCATTTTCCAGATTGAATGTAAATGCTGTCAGGTTTGTTTGTTTGTTTGCTTGCAAAGTCTTTTTTCAAGTGAAACTAAAGTAAGTAACTAAACTAGAATCAGACAAACGTTTCTTTGGAATGCTTTTATTTTGTAACGCCGCCGGAAGAGTAGAAATGCTGACGTAATTCCGCGTGATCAGATTAATGAAATAAACTCATTAAACAGCACGTTTTAAATGAACAGTTTATATATCGGCGTCAATATGAAAATGTTTTTAAATTATTATTTTGGTTTTCTTTTCACTTGGAGCACCCACAGGTGCGACGTTTCAACTTCCGGTTCTAATTATCCAATCAGCGTTCGGATCCCGGCGGCCAGGGGCACTTTTCAGTCTCAGCTTTGGCCGCGGTCTCCACTCTCTTCCAGCCGCTCTTCGGTCACTCCAGGCGTGCAGAGACAAGCGGCAGCTCCCGGACGGATGATGATGTTGGTATGGGTCGGTTTAATAACTCTAGCCCGGTTCAACAGGGACCCGCACCGGGACGCGGATTGAGGTCTGGCCGGCCTGTAGGCGCTGTTGTCGGACTCTGAGCCGTCGGGGGACACCCGCAGCGGGGGAGGATTCTTCCCGGTGCCAGTGTGGAGGTTTGTGAAAGGTAAAAATACACCGGGCTCAGAATAAATAGGAAAATAAAACATTTTTAAATGCTTTACATGCTTAACATCAAACATGGTGTCAAACTCAAACTTAACAGACTGATAAACTAAAACGTTGCTGATGTTTACTCCAGTCTCTTCTTTAATATTCCACTGTTTTATTCTGTGTGTAAAATATTGTTTTGTTTGTGAATGAATCATGTTATTTAAAATATCACTGGGTCACACTGAGGCACAATGAGCTGCTAAATCTAGTTCTCTATAGTTTCTGATTTCATGTTTAGCACACACACACACACACACACACACACACACACACACACACACACACATGCACACACACGCACACACACGAAGGGACATTAACAGCTGATACAGCAACATGATCCTCACTGTCTAGAGTTTATCAATAGTTCAATATTTTATTCAGTCGTTTTTTCCGCGTCAGTGTCTTAATAATGATAATGATGATAATAATGATAATAGTAATAGTATGGTGATTATAAAGGACCCTGTCTGTCAAAGACCGGATTATACGGGACCATTTATTCTAAAGGACTGCTGTGACAAACAGTCACTTGGTAATTTATTAGGTACTTAAATCAACTAATAACACAACAGGCTGTAATTAATCCTAACGGGTAAATCATTAACTGGTGACTATTAAAATGTTTATCAAATCAATGAATTTGTCATTAGGTGTCAGCTTCTCTAAGTTTCTGATTGTGAAGTGAGTCTCTGGGTTTTGGACTGCTGGTTTGAAGACGTCAGACTCACCTGGACTCTGGGTAGATGTTGTATTGACTGAGCTACTGATTAATCAATAAAATAATTGTCAGGTCAATCTATAATCAATAGTCACAGCCCTAACATATTTACATGTCAGCTATGTTTGTGTAAAGAAAACGACTCGTCAGTGTTTCATCACAGAGCTGCAGACACAGGACAGGTTACTACAGGTCGCTCTGAGCATGTGACGGAGGCGGCTCCTTAGTGTCTGTCATGTGACTGATGCTGCAGACTCACACCTGTGTCACAAACATCACATGGTTATAGAATGATATTTAAGTCCTGGACATCAGAAACATCAGATCAGCCTGAGAATAGAAACTGATTTGACTCTTTATCTCTGATCAGTCGATTGATCGTAGAGAAGAAACCACAGTTGATCAATATTTTTGATCAGCTCTACTCAAAATAGAGACAAAAGACAAAGACAAAGAATTAAATTCTTTATTGGCAGATTCTTTGACATGATAAATGTATCCTGCTCTCAGATATTGATTTGTTCACATCAGCAGGAAACTGTCCACTAGAGGGCGACATTGTCTTCTCTGCAGCTGCTCACTGTCACACTTGGTGTCAGAGCAGGAAATCAGTTCCAACTGCTGTAAATGCTTCAGTGACACTTTCAGGCCCTGCACACTCACAGGTGTGAGAAACCTTCAAACACACAGTGAAAGTGAAGGGAAGGCTAGTGATGTGATCACACAGACACAGTGGAAACACCTGTGTAGGAGGGGTGTGGTCTGATGGTGTTAGGAGCTGCAGGTCTCATTATATTATATTAATTATATCAGTGCTAATTCCATTGCTCCTATAGATTTATATTCTTTATAGTGCAACAGAGTGTTTGAAGTAGTTCTCCTTGTGGTCCACAGGGGGCGCTCTTAAAACCTTCATCATCAGCTTGACCTGGTGGATTTATTGTCAAATAATCGTTGCAGCTCTAAACAGTGTTTTTGAAAACATAATTAATTAGTAATATCTTTAACTTCTTTTTGATCCTGTGTTTTCTGCTGTGACGACTGTTTCTGTGTCACAGATCATACAACTAGTCATTGATAAAGTTATTATAAATCTATATATTTATCTGACACAGCTTGAGGTGTTAAAGACAGGATACATACAAAATCAATTCAATTCAAAATGATAAGTTTATTCTAGAAACAAGTTCTAGACAGTTTGATGCTCTGAGGCCTAACACACACACACACACACACACACACCAATCAGCAGCGGACAAGCTGAAAACCATACCGCTGTCCAATGAAACCATAGCTCAGCGTATTGAAGACATGTCTGGTAATATCAAACAACAGCCTGCGTCCAGGCAAGCCCTTACTATGCTTTACAGATGGATGAATCCACAGCAGTGGATAAGGAGGGGAAGCTCATTTTCGGCCTACGTCATAAAATGTGTCCGTTTATTTATATGTAAATTCGCAGAGTGACAGAAGAGAGTCGCCAAACACAACGCTAGTTGTTTTTAACAAAGACAAAGTGGCTGAGGATCAGTAACGTCTCCAGATCAACTCCGAACAACAGAATGAAAAACTTGAAAAATGCTCCGGTGGATGCTTATACTTCAAGATCGCTGATTCACTAATTTCGCTGTCAATCAAAAAGGGACTCAGCCTCAGACAGATCATCCAATCATCATGCAGAAGCCGAGCGTCCGGGCCAGCCCACTGCCCCATAGACCCCCAGAGACGCTGAGCGTCCGATGGGCGGGACAAAGCCCAGCATTTATCCAATGACCGTCTAGTTTCGCTGCAGTGGAACAACCCACTCTGTGCTTCCCCACTGAAGTCAGTAGACGCTCGGCGTCTACACTGTGTAAAGCGCTGTGGCGCTGCGGGGATGAATGAGAAGGAAGTCGTGTCGGTTACCTGTGACAACTGATGGAACTGCCTCCATGACTGGGAAACATTCAGGTGTGGTGAAGCAAATTCTGGAGAGGGCACCTAATGCGATGTGGAACCACTGCTTTTTGCACCGAGAGGCACTGGCGGTTAAGAATATGGTGCCTGTGCTTGATGAAGCTTTAAAAGATGTCATCAAAGTGGTGAACCCCATTAAACAAAGTGCGAGGAACAGCCGCTGCTTTTCAAAGCTGTGTAAGGACTTGGGCTCTGAGCACATGCAGGTGTTTTATCACTCTGAAGTACGCTGGCTGTCATGTTCGGCAACGAAATCTGGCTTGCACGAGTTGCATATCTTGCTGATGTGTTTGAGCATCTCAACACATTAAACGTGTCTATGCAAGGGAAAGGACACTAAATTTTTGAACAGTCAGACAAAATTGCTGCATTCAAGAAAAAGATAACACTGTGGGTAAATCATTTATCCAAAGACAGACTGGACATGTTTCCCAACGCTTGCCAGGAAGCGCAGCAGCTGGACACCGCGGACAAAAATGACTTGAAAAAAACCGTCAAGGCACAGCTCACTAAACTTCAAGCTCGGTTTGACGATTACTTCCCAGAGGAACACAGAGATAATGCCTGGATACGCAACCCCTTCAACATCAACATGGAAAGCGTCACGTTGCCAAGCAACGAAGAGAGATTTGGCGAAGTAAGCCTCTCCCACTTCTGGTGCAGTGATGTGATGGAAGCGTATCCATCCCTCGCCACTCTTGCAGTCAAAACGATCCTACCATTCAGCACGACCTATTTGTGTGAAAGCGGCTTCTCCGCTTTGGTCCAGCTCAAGTCAAAGCAGAGAAACAGGTTGGACAGTGAGCGTGATCTGAGAGTAGCTCTGTCTACTGTCACCCCAGAAACCTTGAAACTCTGAACGAGAGTAAAGCACATGCCCAACTGTCTCGTAGATTTCAACAAATGACAGGTTAGGTGAAACAACGTTTTGTGGGCTTTTTTTTTTTTTTTTTGTGCAGTTTTTTTATTTTATCCACTTTTGTACATGAAGTTGTCATGTTCCTCCTCAGTTTCTTAATAATATGTTCTGAAATGCACTTTTAAATATGTGTATTTATGTTTTTAAAAAGTGACATGTTTTTGAAGACTACTTTGGAAAAATAAATTTGTTTGGTTTGAATTATTTAAAAGTGGGTCATGACTTAATGACCAGCGGAAAATGTGGGTCCCGGGGTGAGACCAGTTGAGAACCCCTGGTCTAGATGGTTCATAATGTAGCAGCAGATCAGAAATGTATTTTGGCCCTAAACCATCAAGTGCTTAATAAACCAACAGCAGTATTTTAAAATCAACTCTTTGACAGACAAGAAGCCAGTGTAGACGTTGAACAGAAGAGGCCCCAGAATGGAGCCTTGGGGAGCTCTGCATGTCATTTTTGTCCGCTCAGATGTGTAATTATCTATAGACACAAAGAACTCCCTGTCCTTTAAGTAGAATTCAAACCAGTTCAGTACTGTGCCAGAAGGTCCCACCCAGTTTTCCGGTCTGTCTAGTAGTATGTTGTGTTCAACCATGTCAAATGCGGCACTAAGATCCAGTAATACTAATACTGTGATTCTGCCATTGTCAGTGTTTAAGTGCATTGAAGACCTTAACAAGAGCAGTCTCAGTGCTGTGGTGTGGTAGAAATCCTGACTGAAAGACATCAAAACGGTTGTTTAGCTGTTTAACTGTTGAAAAACAGCCTTTCCAATGATTTTACTTAAAAATGGGAGGTTTGATATGGGCCTATAGTTGTTCATTAGTGAAGAGTGTAGATTGTTCCTTTTTAAGAACGGTTTGAATACGGAAGTCAGACCATGTCCTTGGGAAAGCAGAATATTTTAGTGTTTTTACTGCACATGCTTAAATCTTTTACAGCACAGTCACCCAAAATCAGAGTTTGAGGCCCAGGCCCTAGCTTTCCCTGCAGCCTTTTACTTTCTGTTTTACTCTCAGACCTCACCCTGCTATGTGAAGATGAGAGGTTATTCAGGTCATCAGACGGAGATCCAGGGTCCTGCAGCAGTGGAGACAATCTGTTCTCCAGTTGCACACTCGGTTGTTACGGAGGTTTGTTGTTAGTTCTCCCTTTCGCAGCTGTCCGTGGCTGTGTCCTACTAAGAACAGGGGTTGAAGAGTCGCTCTGACTGGATAGTAATGCATCCTCACTCACGTAGTACTGAGGAGGTCATAAAAATGTTGAAATATAGCAAATAGCCTACAATAGCTACAAAAAATTAGTCCCAGTGATTCATAAGTATCCAGGAGCTGCTGCTCGTAGTTTATCTCAGAAGAAAAACAAGAATATCAGTAGGAAAAATGCAAGCGGAGGCAAGAGCAAGAAAAGTGTCTGCACTGAGAGCAAGCGGACGCCGAAGTACCAGTACACCAGTTTACCTGAATGTTCTTTAAGACTGTAGTCTGAGGTAGTTAGCTAGAGCTAGTTAGCTACATGTATCTAGCTGTTAGCTAGGGGAAATAAGTAATTGACTTGAGGTAGCCAGGGTTTGGCCAGAAGTAGCAGCATAGTTAGCCAGGAGAGATAACCTGGGGGTGGAGACAAGGTCTCCTATGTTCAGTTACTGTAGTTATAGCATGTTTGGTTGATAAGTGCAGTTAGCAAGGGTTAGTATACACAACAAGCCAGAATGAGTTAGTTGGCAAGTGTTGAAAAGGGTAGTTAGCTAACTGACAACGCTGTCTGCACGGTGTATCTACACTACAGTATACACAACACTGTACTGGAAAATGTCTGAACTTTTTAAAGCCACACTGTGGAGGGTCTGAACTACTCGAACTACTAGCACACACAGCAGGACGTAGACCGTGTGATACATACTAATTAATTTGGTATGATTGTGTTTAAAAGTATTTGGACCGACACAGTCTCTGTTTTGTCTGAGTTTCATCAGGGCGTATTATTGCTTCTTCATGTAAAGAGAAAAAGATCCTGAACTATGTGACAAACACAGGGTGTGATCAGGGTGCGACTCAATACAAAGATCTTTTCACTGATGTTGCTGCTCTGCTGCTTTTGTTTTCTTCACCTGCGTTGAATAACATCCAGCTCCAGTTGTTTTTCTCCTGTCAGTACAGTCTCGTTATTTGTGTGATCAGTATGTAGGTTCATTCTGACATCAGTAGAGTCTGCACAGTCCACACAGCTCATCTCTTCAGTCATGCAGTGTTGGCTCAGTCTACTGATCACTACAGAAACCACCACCAACAGAGTTTATCACATATTCTTCGTCATATTTTGAATAAACAGTATTAATGGGTGGCATGGTGGGGCAGTGGTTACCACTGTGGCCTCACAACAAGAAGGTTCTAAGTTGGAACCCAGGTTTTGTTTGCATGTTCTCCTCATGCCTGTGTGGAAACCTATAGATACAACTCAGGGCTGAATCTGACAGATTCTTAGATTAAAAAAAGAAATCACTGGGCTTTTTTTTATTTACAAATAATTTGGTCCATCCCATGATTAACAGTATGTCATATAAATCAGGAACCGATAACACAGACTGATTCCTACTGGTACCAACATGTAGTCATAGAAGAAAAAACACAACTGTGTAGAACGACAGAGTAAGAACTGGGTATCTTAGATTTAGCATAAAAACTGCATCCGATGGAGAAGTGAGAAACCAAGATGAGAAGACGTCATGTCCTGTCCTGGACTGTCCGATAAGACCCTGAACCCCTCTGATGCTGCAGCCTCAGCCTCAGTCACTGTGCTTCACCCTGCACATAAAACTGAAAGCATCTTCCTCCAGCTTTATCTGACAGACGACCTCGCCCGTATTATCACTGCAGAAATCCATGTTTGCCTTGATAGAAGTCTCTGATCTCACAGTGGAATATTTTCTATGTTGAAGAGAATTTAATCATGAAACTATAAATCAACCATGTTCATGTGCTTATCTTTGTTTCCCCTGATCTCCACCTTTTATTTTACTTACCAATGAAACATGAAGTCTGTTCAGCAGGTAATTCCACATTGTTCAGCTGAGGATCTGTTGTGTCAGAGGTTATGGACAATGCTCAGCAAAGCTCATAAATTCGTCAACATAACAGGTCACTTTCATTTTCCTTCTTGGTTAAATAGGCCTTACAGAGCCGGGAGGGGTGCTGGGTCTTTGTCCTGTTGAAAATTAAATGATGCTGTCCCTAAGTGCAGATCAGGTGGGATGGCATGTGGCTGCAGAATGCTGTGGTAGTGATGCTGCACACCCTCCTCCATACTTCACGGTGGGAACCACACATGCCGACATACCATCCGTTTTCTCTTTTTCTGCGTATCACAAAGACACGGCGGTTAAAATCAAAAATCTGACATTTGGACTCATCAGACCAAAGTCCTGATCTCCACTGGTCTATTGTCCATTCTTTGTGTTTCTCAGTTGTGATTCCTTTGCAGCAGTTCGATGGTGAAGGCCTGAGTCTGTTGAGCTGCGTCTGCTACTCTGAGGTGCTGTTAATTGGCGATTTGCATTATTAACATTTGCAACATTATTCATTGGTTCTGCTATTATTGCTGCTGTTATTATTGATAACAGCATTACACTTATGGTACACCTATGGGTATTGGGTATTAAATACCCTTGACTTGAGTTGAATGACCTCTGACACAGCAGACTATCAGCTGAACAATGTGGATTTCCCTGCTGAACAGACGTCATGTTCATTGGTAAGTAAAATAAAAGCTGGGGATCAGGTTAAACACAGATAAGCAACATGGTTGATTTCTTTATATATATTCACTGATTAAATTCTCTTCTGCATAGAAAACCTTCAGAGACTTCTATCAAGGCAAACAGCAAAGCAAAAGCAATCTGAGGAAACAGATTTCTGCAGTGATAATACGGGCGAGGTCGTCTGTCAGATAAAGCTGGAGGAAGATGCTTTCAGTTTTATGTGCAGGGTGAAGCACAGTGACTGAGGCTGAGGCTGCAGCATCAGAGGGGTTCAGAGTCCAGTGGACCGGATCACCAGATAGTCCAGGAGAGGACATGACATCTTCTCTTCTTGGCTTCATTTCTTCATCTTCAGCCTTTTACTACGTCAGACTCACAGCCTTAGGTCTACTACACCACAGACAGTCACCCCAATGGTGCCATGTGATCCAGGGGTTTTCCCTGGAACCCAGCCCAAGGCTCCTGTGTAAAGCTGCACACAAAATCCAGATGAAGCATTTTAGTCTGAATTTGACCATCCCTTTCGCTCATTTCAGCACTGACCAACCGGCATTATGGGTGTGTTTTACCAAGCTACAGTTGTAGGCTACAGTCTGTTACCTGTGGTTGGCGTGGCTGTGTGTCAATCAGAAAACAGTCGACCTGTTCGTTCGACAGCTCTTTAAATAGTTTCAGTGAAATCATGTGACCACAGAGAGCCCGCCCCTTCTGATATAAAACCTGTGAACACTGACTCCTCTCTGCTCTTCCTCCTCCTCCTCCTCCTCAGCATCACAGAGCTTAAGCTGTCAACAGGTAAGATCTCTGACAGAGAAATGATGGGAAACTTTAACAAAGTTTAAAGGGAAAGTTTTCAGACAGACTTTAGTCACTCTTTAATGATGCTTAAATATGAGAGAAACTGAACATTTCTTTCATCATTTCAACAGGTTTGTTTTTCCTGCTGATCATTTTCCAAATCCTCATCTTTAGAACTTTCCCTCCTCACTCACAGCTGCTGGTTTCAGTTTGTTTCTATCAGAGACTGGACACAGAAAACTGCTGGTTACTTAATCCGAGCTTTTATCAACATCAAATAAAGGTGCATCTTATCTATCTTATCTTACATACAGCAGGGAGAGAGGCATGTAGAGACTTAAGTCTCTCCCCTTGGTTCTGGTTCTGGCAGCTGAGTTCTGAACAGTCTGGAGTCCATTATTATTTGACAAATAAAAAAGCTGCTGCAATAATATAAGTGTGAAGAAATAAAAGCAGGTAAAAAGATCGTAGTCAGTAAAGCTGCATGTAAATTTTTTTGAAAGATCCTAAAGCAGACAAATAATATTTATTAAACAATTGAACTCAGCAAACTGATCAGTGTGTGCATGTGAGAGGTTACACTGCAGTAGGTGTTGAGTGAACCACAGACCAGTGGCTCTTAATTCTTTTTTAGATTTTCAGATACATAACTAATTAGACTCATTAGACCAAAATCAGCATAATGAGCAGTGTATGGGTGTGTAGGACATACACGTGATGTTTGGTAAATGATTAAAAACAGTGAAATGATCCTTTAACATCTGAATAATGTTATAATTTTGTTGAATCTTTTGATTGTGTAACTTATGTTTGTTACAGATGAATGAAACTGTGATGAAGCTTTCCTGATATATTTTTAATATCTTCCAGACACCATCACATCTGTTTGATCCTCACAGCTGTCTGCATCAGGCATCACCATGGCAACACTGTGAGTAACATAATTAACCTTTAAAGCAATAAAGTCCTTAGACAAAGTCATGATTATATTATAGTGAATGTATAAACTTCATTTTCATATAGTCTTGATGAAAAACATCTCATGTTGCTTCATGATACATGTTAAACATAATCAGTGAGAAATTTCATGTTTAGGCTGATTAGTTAGACAGACTAACCCCAACACTGTTTGAAGCTTAACCACAGCTGCAGCGGCTCTTGTGCTGACAGTTCACACTATACCCTCTCCTAAGGAGCATACATTAGCATATCTAACATATTAGAGAATAGCTAGAAAACAAGGGGCCTTACTGGAAAATAGTCGAAGAAGCCTTGGATCGATGGATGGACAGGACCAAAAGGATGAAAAAGATTATTTTCAGTAGATTAAGATGAACTACTGATGATCTTTATTCGACACAGCGAGCGGATTACAAAATCTTTGAATATGTAAAATATTCAATCTACAAATGTGATTAAAAAATAAAACAATAACATGAAATTAAACTTAATCAAAATAAAAAAAACTATTAAATGAGATTAAAAATGATCAAAAATGAAATTTAAAAGGTAGAAATGTAAAATTAAAAAACTTTTGAAGAATCAAAAGACACTACAGATTCACAGCTCAATTCATCAAGTATATGCTAGATGAAAAATCCCCAAAACTGAGTGAGGTAGAAAACAATCTCTCAACAGATAAATCTCCAAACAATCCTGAAATCTCCCTCACCTTCAGGAGTACACCTCCATTTATACTCTTGGTCTGTGCCAGGTGGTGTGGAAAACCAGAGCAGTTGGCCTTTCTCAAAGCATAAAAACCTCCATTAGCTACAGCTGGACTATTGACCTTGATCAGGGGAGAGATTTCAGTCACCAGTGGGGTTATCCATTGAAGACTTGGGTAAACAGGGAAAGAGGTTTGGTGTTGAAGGATCAGTCTGGGGATGGCAGGGGTGGTTGGAGGATGAATGGGAGCAGAGAGAGTGGTAAAAGCACAGATTGGTACCCCTGACAAAAGGTGGACCTCTCACCAAAATTCCTTGGGGTGGGAGTAGCCTATTACTCCATAGGCCACTCTGTCCCACCGGATGGACTGGAGTAGTAAAGAAAACATGCTAGCGGCAAAGAGCTCCCATTTTTGTAGATTAAACTTCAGGTAAGGTGGGTAGCCAGGCACCTGACATATCCTGATAAAGCAGATACCATACCCATGTTATGGGTGCGGAGAGGTCACTGAGTTTTTCCCCATCCGTATTACATAACAAAGCATCACCTGGGTTGAGGAGGCTGATTAGGGAACAATGATGAGGAGGTTCCCTGTTGCAGGACAGATTTGAAGCTGTTGAAGACAGCAGGAAAGGGTGAGATGGAGTACGAGCATGGGGAGGATCTTCAGTTGAGTGCAGTGAGACGGGGCTCAGCATTGCCATCAGCTCTTAGTAGTAGTCTTGTTTGTCATCGGAGTTGTCAGGAGCAGCATATGCTGGTCCTGCAGGTCGATCAAGCCCTGACTCTGTAGGTCCCGCCCCAACAGCAAGAGGTGGGGCTACCTCCAGGCGTGCCATTTTTCCAGCAGAGGCATTGAGACAAACTTGCAGCATCTCTTCGCCTTCACAGGTGAACCAGGTCCACTGGGGTCCCATAAGGTCTGTGATCCTCCCCAATGTGAGCAAAGGGGTGAGACAGCACATTATTGACATATGCCCAGAGCCAAACCCAAACCAAGTCGGGTTCCTCTCATGGTCTGCAGCTAGCCGACAACACCTCAACCCCCTACTGGTGCCTTGGTTTCACATCCTGTCCTAGGTCATTGTTGAAGAAGAAAACATTGCTCCACCAGGAGTGAAGGAAGTTTAGGTTCCCCAAAAAGTGCCAAATAATTTCATAGGTCCCCATCAAGTTTGTGTTGAAGGTTTCTGACAGTAAGGTAATTGAGGAATCAAGCTTAACATAATTTGTCAGTCCCATTATGGCCTTCATCAATAACATCAATTGGCTTGAAGTAAATGCCAGCTGACTCACCAGCTCCCTCATATTGAGGGCCACTAAGACAAACATTTGCAGTAGGTGCAAGGTCCAATACCTAATATGCAAAAATTTAAATCTGTCAAACGTTGGATACATTGACAGATCTGGTGCAGGTACACCAAGTCTCTCACAAGTTTGACTGCTTATATAGTATTTTGCTCTAGAGGGATGTAATTAACAGGTATTGACCAAGAGACCTTCACCTCTGTGTGGCATCTTCTGTTACTTTTATTACTTTCCACCCCACAGGGGGTCTGTAACTAAAGTCTCTAACAGATGTAGACAAGCCAACAGTCAAAAATATAATAATAAAGTCCAGACATGTACTGGATCCTTTGGTGTCCTGCTCACCCCAAATGTCAGCAGTTCACCCAAGGCAGACATTCCTCACATATTAAAGCCAAAGTTGTATACATGCAAAACAATTAATACCTTACACAATACTATTTAATATATGCTTTAATCCTCCAAAATAAGGCTCCTGAAGTGTTTGAAAAACCACCCCTCCATTTAAGGGTTAAAAGTGTAGTGAGCAAATTCTCTATTTCCTCTTCAGGTTCAGAAACGTCTCATCCAAATACAAGGACATCATCTCCAAAAGTACTCTGGTCAGTTCAGGATCTCCTACTGTCTACCAGCTGACAACAAAGAAAGAGGCGTTTGGAACTATGACCAAAGTGATTGTTGGTGAGAAAAATCATAATAATGAAAACAAAACCATCTTACTTGTTGGTGAAACAGGAACAGGAAAATCTTCTCTGATCAACACTCTGGTCAACTACTCCATGGGAGTGAAGTTTAAAGACGACATCTGGTTTGAGATCGTTGAGAGAGAGAAGAGAAGTCAGACACAAAGTCAGACATCTGATGTGACCGTGTACGAGATCTTTGACTTTAAAGAAAACACTCTGCCCTACTCTCTGACCATCATTGATACTCCTGGATATGGAGACACCAGAGGGATTGAACTTGATGTCATCGTCAGTCACAGATTATTTGACTTGTTCAGTTCAGAAAATGGAGTTCATGAAATTAATGCAGTGGGTCTGGTGATGAAGGCGACAGAGAATCGTCTGAGTGACCGATTGAAGTACGTCTTTGATTCAGTGATTTCTCTGTTTGGAAGAAATGTGGAGGAGAACATCGTCGCTCTCATCACTCACTCAACTGGAAGAACACCTAAAAATGCTCTCAAAGCTCTTGAAGATGCAAAAATCAAATGTGCCCGAAATGAGAAGAATCAACCTGTTCACTTCCTGTTTGATAACTGCCAGAATGAAGACCGAACAGAGGACACAAAGACAGCCTTAGAAAGTGCATGGGACTTAACAAATCAAAAAATGGGTAAATTCATAAACTTTCTGGAGACATCCACACCTCAGAAGCTGGTTTCAACAGTTGAAGTGTTGCAGTCACGCATCAAGCTGGCAGCCTGCATTCACAACCTGCAAGACAGAATCAAATTGATCGAACTGAAACAGAAAGAAATCAAACAGAATCGAGAAGTTTTGAAGAAACATGAAAAAGAGATGATGAAGAATGAGAAGTTCATTGTAGACATTGATGAGGCCTACAAAGATAAAGAAACTACTGAGGGTGGGAGACGTTGGTTGTTTTTTCATGAAGGAGCTGTCTGCTGTACTGTCTGTGAAGAGACCTGTCACTATCCATGCACCCTGGCCCGGACGCCGAAACGCTGTAAAATCATGGAACGTGGTCACTGCATTGTTTGTACCAACAGGTGTCCTGTATCAGCTCATGTGAAACAAAACTGGAGGTTTGTGAACAAGACAAAGAAAGTTCAGAAGACTGAAAAACAGATGAAAGAGAAGTATGAAAAGAACAAGTCGCAAAGTGATAGTAAGTTGAGCCTCTTGGAAAATCTAGAGAAGGAAATGAGAGAGCTGACGGCAGAGAAGACTCAGTGGCTTGAAGAGGCCTACCGACATGTTGTCAGACTGGATCAGATCGCCCTGAATGTGGATTCAGTGTCCACTCATGTCCACTTGGACTTCCTGATTGAGAAGATGAAGGATAGTGGAGACACAGAAAAGGTCCGGAAATTGGTGGAGATGAAAATTCGAGTGGACAGAAGAGTCCCTGCAGCGCTGCGGTTCGTGTACGTAAAAATAATGTCAGCTGGGAGAGGACTTAAAGATGTCTTTTACGTGACAGGTCAGACAGGTGTGTAGGCAACAAGGTCTGCTCTGTTCATACAAACATCGCAACAGTTAATTCAATACAATTCTTTTAACTGTGATGTTGATTTAAGAAAGAAATGTAATCACTTTTTGATATCTTAAATATCATGTAAATAAGAAGCCCGAGGCCTCATTTATCAACACTGTGCATGCATAGATTTGTACTTAAACCATGTGGATGCTCATACACAGAATCCAATTTATCAGTTTCTTGTGCTTGAAAAAGTTTTGTAATGTAATGTTGATGGTGTGGCAACCAAAGAAGCCTGGAGACATAGAACACAATGTCCAGTGGCAATGAAGGAGCACATGTACAGTAGAATGATGGTATGTAAAAGTTTAGTTAGTGTGTAAAAGTACACACAGTACTGTGGTAATAAGCAGAGTGAAGTGGGAGCTCACAGCTCTTCTTTAAATGGAGTGACGCCCCCTGGTGTTCAGTGCTCAGTACAACAGCCCCTCCCTCCCTGATCTCTCAGTCAGACTGTGTGGAACATTTATTTCTCTCAGTTTTCTCAGTGTTGGTTGAATGTTTTCTAATGTTGTCAGTGATTGAGGCTGTGATTTATTGGGATGTTGCTCATGTTGACACAGTGTCAGTAAACTGGTGGTGGGACAGTAACAGTCACTGACCTGATGTATAAAGATCATTAGCATCAGTTTGTACAGAGGATGTTACAGACACTGAACTCAGACACACTGTAGAAATATTCTGAATCCAACTTTCACACCTCAGAGTTTCTCAAGAGTCCACTCATGAAATCTGACCCACTTTGATTTGATTTCTACTTTGGTTTCTTCATGTGTCTTCATGCTTGGAATGACTAGTTCACATCTGTCAGACCACAGAAACATCTGGATCCTCTAATGTTGGACTTTATCTGTGAAGCAGCCATATTTGAGTGAATTCACTATATTGTGTTGTTCCACATGAAATCACGTCCTGATTGATGCAGTTTTCTGTGAATCCTGAATAAAATCTGCTTGATGAAAAGAGTTTGATCAGAGTCTTCACTGGATCATCAGCTGCTTCTTCAGTCTGTTGAAGCTTCTGCTGAACTTTATTCAATAAATGTCTGTTTGTCTTTGTTCCTGAAACACTTTGACTTTGTTGTGATGGAACAGAGAAACACACTCCACCATTAGAGCTGATGTTTAATCAGAGCATCATGAAGAAGGTGTGATAAACTCTGTTGCTGCTGGTTTGTGTAGTGACCACTAGATGGAGCCAACACTACATGACTGAAGGGATGATGCTGTGTGGACTGAGCAGACTCAATTAATATTTCTCTCATCACAAGGATGATTGGAACAGGAGACATTTGTCCACAGTGTTGTAAAGTCTGTTCTCAGGTCAAAATGTTCCTTCACATGTTTAGTGTGTGTTCTGACAGTGTTATGTTCATCATTTAGAGCTTTTTGAAACCTGGGTATACACTTAAACTCTGGTTCCCAGGTGGCAAAATGCCAGTCAGCTGTTTGTGTTCTCTGCTGTTCCTGAATGTGAAGCACTTCTAAAACATCTGACGTCAGCTGATTCCCAGTTCAGGGGCCGCAGCCTTCAGAGGACACGGTGTATGAAGGTGTGACCCTTCGAAGCCGCTGCAGACCGTGAAGGCTGAGCTGAAATGAGACGGTCTGGTCTACGGAGCATTTACACTGTTCGTTACCAGCCGTGCCTGCTGTTGCCATTGCTCGCAGTGTGGCTCCTGTTGCCTAGCAACCTTGACAACACATAACTTTTTTTCACAAAACTTTTTGTCTTAAGGCGCAATCAGTCTTCATGCAGCCTCTGAAGGATGCCTACATATGAAGTGTTGTTTTAATTGAATGATTTATTATATAATTATTATTATTGGTTTTTATCTTTTATGTTTGTGAGTCTGAAAAAAAGTTTGAATGGTCACATTCACTACAGATTGTTACATCATAATCACTAACCAAATAATAAGATGTAATTTCCCTGATACTTTGAGATAAAAATTGTTGTTGATTATATAAAAATGTTTGACATGTCAACATAAATCTTTGAATACGTTTTATTTCTGTCTTTACCAAAGAGCTGTAACTGTTTCTGCTCTGTCTTTGATTGATGATCAGTTCCATTATGTTTATAGAAGGATAATCTGTAATTAAATTTAAACTCAATCACTTTTATCTGAAAATACAGAGGTCATCAGAGGGTCAACCACTCTTCACATGAACAGACAGTGACACGATTCTGTCCACCAATCATAAGTCTCTGTTCATCTGTCCATCAACTCAACACGTCATCAGTGTGACGCTGAAGAAGAGGAGGACTTCACTCTCATGTTTCCTGGTTTACTGCTGAGTCCATGAGAACCAACCACATTCACACAGGACGATCTGATTCACAGCCTTTAATATGAAATCATCAGTGATTTATTCACACAACGTCCACTGTTATTTATCATGTTCATCAGCTCATTATCACATTGTTCACTTCCCACTGTACGTCTCATAATAAAACGTTTCAACGTGAAGGCGTGAAGTTTTATACACAGGCCTTTTTAGACGCATACGTGTTGTTGTTTTTGTTGTTGTTGTTGTTGTTGATGATGATTTGAATTAAACTTTTTAAACAGCGGCTCATTTTCCCGGGAGTCTGCGCTATCTGTTAGTTTATTATGACTCCTCATGTGTCTGAACGCGGGCACAGCCAATCACAGCAAAGAACAGAGGGTCTCCATGGTGACCGTGAATCGTTTGGGGAAGGGCCGCCTGGGTGTGAGACTTCCAGCGGAAGATAGAAACATTAAAGTGTTTGTCGGTGAGTTCTCGCCTCTCTCTAATTGATCATGAGTGATGGTCGTGTTCAGAACGAACGCGTCAGTGTTCGGCTGTTCGTGTTCTATGGTTCCATTCGTGTTCTATGGTTCTGCCAGCTTCCTGCTTTCAGGACGACGCTGCAGACCGGGGGTGGGGGTGGGGGGTGTCACGACGCTGATCCTTTACTGATATAAAATGATGTATTAAGAGTCAAAGTTCTGAAACTGGCTCATTTCAAACTGTGTTTAAAGTGGAGTCAGCGCTCAGACAGTAGGTGACTTCAGGATGTTTGGAGACCTGCTGTTTATTATTGACAGTGATGCATAATGGCTGTTGTAGCTGGTATAATACTTCCATAATAATACTTTTATATAAACACACTGCACAGTGACAATCATTCACTTTTAATATCGAAAAACCATTTGACTATTAATCTGAAAGTAGCTTCACATTCACAGTCACTGTTACAGGTTTCACAGCATACAACTAACTGGAAAGTGAAAGAGGAGTGAAAACAACACTGAGCTGTTCATATGAAGCGCTAGTGTTAAAGCTGGAGGTATTGTCAAGGTAACGACGTCTCAAACAGGACAGACTGTATCATTCACACCGTGTCTGTTGAGATCTTCTTCACCTGAGGGGATGACCTGCCGGAAAGTTCAGGGGCGGAGCCTGAAACGACTGCAGTCAGGTTGGACACAATCGAAGCACCTGGAGGAGAATAACTCAGAGAAGTGAAGGCACCTTGGTCCCGCGAGATTTTAATGTCATGTGACATGGTCACGTTATGTCTTTATAGGCCTTGATATACTATGACATTTTAAGCCTTTTTATGCCTTATTATACCATAAAGTTTTTATGACTTTTGACGCCTTACTATGTAATGACGTTTTTCATGACTTTTTATGCCTTTTTATGCCTTGCTATACTATGACTTTTGATGCCTTACTATATAATGACATTTTTATTACTCTTTATGCCTTACTATATAATGATGTTTTTATTACTCTTTATGCCTTACTATACTATGATTCTTTGACTTTTTATGCCTTACTATACTATAAAGTTTTTTTTTATGACTTTTTATTGATATTTATGCTTTATTATACTATGACTTTCCATGCCTTACTAAAGTATCACCTTTTATGCCTTACTATACTATGACTTTTTGTACCTTACTATAATATAACGTTTTTATGACTTTTATGTCTTACTATACTATGTTGTTTTTAATGTATTTTTATGCCTTGTTATACTGTAGCTTTTATGACATTTTATGCCTAACTATACTATGAGGTTTGACGCCTTCCTATACTTTCGACTTTTTATGCTCTACTATACTATGACGTTTTTTTGACTTTTTATGACCTACTATACTATGACATTTTATGCCTTACTATACTATGACTTTATTTTTACTTTTTATGCCTTACTATACTATGACGTTTTTTTTTACTTTTTATACCTTACTATACTATGATGTTTCTTTTTACTTTTTATACCTTGCTATACTATGGCGTTTTCTTTTACTTTTTATGCCTTACTATACTATGACGTTTTTTTTTTTACTTTTTATGCCTTACTATGCTATGACTTTTTTTTTTTACTTTTTATGCCTTACTATACTATGACGTTTTCTTTTACTTTTTATGCCTTAATATACTATGACATTTTATGTCTTACTATACTATGACGTTTTTTTTTACTTTTTATGCCTTACTATACCATGATGTTATTTTTTTACTTTTTATGCCTTACTATACTATGATGTGTTTTTTTACTTTTTATGCCTTACTGTACTGTGATGTTTTTTTTTACTTGTTATGCCTTACTATACTATGACGTTTTTTTTTTACTTTT